TTGGGAGAAAAGCAAAAAATAGTCATCGATCGGAGAATCGCCAACCGCTAGTTTCGCCGAACCGCCGCGGTTCGGCGGTTGGGCGAAAAGCAATAGATGTGTATCGATTTCGCTGGCGAAAAACGCCACGGCGATCGAGCTAGCGTTTCGTCGAAGGCGAAAAAACGGTTTGGCGAAACGCCCGTCGATTCGTATCAAAACCCTTTCGCCCAACCGCCAGACTCTTCGCCCAACCGCCAGTCGATACGTATCGAAAGCTTTTCGCCGAACCGCCGCGTTCCAGAGAAACGCTGGACCGCAGACTGTGAACAATAAGCTCGCCACTTGCCACTACCCCACCTCATGCTGTTGGAGTCGGAAAACCGGGGCATTGCCTCTGCAATACACTAATTGCACTCACTTTATCCACAGGGGTGGAGACTTGACCACGCCATAGTATTTCGGCAGTTAAGAGAACTCAGTGCTAAGGTTGGAAACACTGCTTCTCCACCTTCTTCCGTCACTGCCGTGTCCTTTTGATTGGCGAGAATCACACGGTTTGTCCGACCCGACTGTGGGCGTGAGCGCGTCATTTCAGGAGCAACTCCAACTTAGCGCAACCGTGCACTGAGCTTTTCCAGTTGAATTAAATCCTTCCGGCCCTCAACATGTACAACAAATGCGAAGCTCCCTACATGTTTTTTGATCATTTGACCTATTTAATACGCCACACGTAGATCCCTGGGCGTAGCGAACCACACTCTGAATATATAGCACGCACTTAACATAGCCGATGTGAATTCTGTTGTAAAAGGAGGTGGCTCAAGCTTACCACAAGTACTTCGATTTGTTCAAGTTGCGAAAAGCTCTGAACACAGCCTACGGCTATAGTTTCCACTTGGTTAGATCTATTTCTGTCGCCTTACATACGCTCATTCTACTAAGGATGCGACGAGCATCACTTCCTAATCAAAGATTCCTATTTCACCTTGTGCATATGAATCCATTTAATAACAATTTATCAACAAAAATCGACAACAATTCACTCTTGAACAATAGTGGTCTTCTCTGACACGTAGATTCCATCAAGGAACTTACGGATATCCTTTTCTTTGACAGATGTAGACTGCTGGATGCGAGCAGCTGAATTACGAATTCATGAATGACGGAATCTGAGAATTGATAGAGTGAACTAACCGGCTTGAGATACCAGCTGGATATCGTTTCCCTCAATGATAAGCTCGTCCTTTTGTGAAGTGGACAAAGTGGCAGTAACACCTTCCGGAAGAGGTACACGACGAACAATCTTCTCTCCAAGGAAGTTACGAATCTACAACTAGTTCTGGTTGAGTCGTTTTTCGAAAGAGATACCGTCAAAGAAAAATGTATAAAAACAAGAACTAAGAACCTCCAAAATTAACGAATTAAAAGTCACCTCAACGGTTCTTCCACCATCCTGAAGGGTGACGTTAATGGGGAAGTGAGCATACACCGATCGCATCTTGTAGCGGAATCCTTTCGTGACACCCTTGATCATGTTCTGAATGTGTGAGCACACCGTTCGAATGGCAGCGATCTCCTTGCGAACTCCAAACCATTTTCGTACACGCAGTTGGTTTTTTCCAACACGCTCCATCTGAATGCATAAACAGTGATGATTTCACAATGACAGAAAAATTTCTCTACTCTGCTCTCAGCTCGTTTGCAACGGAGCAGAACACTTGCAACGTATACAAATGTTTTGCCGCGGTAGTCGCCGAGTGCTCTTGTTACCCTTATTCCACGGGTCTTATGCACTTGCTAATATTGGGGTGTGGAGCTTCAGTCCTAATCGCTGCGGAACAGGCGCTGCAAGCGCGACGACTACCCAGTATCTGCAGAAAGACCCAACCTAATACACACATCATGGGATGGATACAAATATATCAAGCTGATGTCGCGGGCTTCGTTCAGACCTCGCGACCATAGCACTCCTATGGTACCAATTGAGGAAGCGCCCCTTCATCTTACCGATTTCCCTCTACTTAACCCTTCTTCCATAGTTTTATACATGTTATTTTTTGGGTATTTTTCATAGCTAAATATCAGAGTGCTTCAATTTCAAGATATAGTGAGGCTCAGAAAAGAAATCTGGCTAACAGTTAAAGTCGATTGAATAAATCGTGTCAATCATGATAAAATGGTACGGAATATTGGAATAAGGCCGAAAAAAGCGACGATGTTGTCAACGACGTGGTCATCGGGGATTGAACGTGACCGGACAACTCAAAAAGTAGGGGAGAAAAGAAGCAGTAAAAAGCGTGAGCAGTTATACAGTTCGGTCTCAAGATGCTCGTTATGATGTTTTTTTTCTAAAACAGCTCGGATGGATAAGTTCTTCTGTGCTAGCAAACATCGATTTCAGCATCGTAAAAATAAAGAATAAAGGGGGAGCGGTCCATCAGTCATAGCGCGTTCATACTTTGCGTCAGCGTTTTGAGTTTTCTGAGTGAAAGTAAAATGTACAGATATAAATTAACGCTGAAAACGCTAGTGGACACTCAAGACGCCGGTGGACTTCGAAACGTTCAAAACGCTGTCGCAAAGTGTGAACGCACTCTTATAAACAGTAGAGCGCGATGAAACGGTAGCACGTCGACGCGCCATCGTACCGAAGTCTGGACTTAGTATTGCAAAGTAGAGGATGTTCTGTAAGGTATAGCATCACAACAGACTGATACCAAAACCGGTACTGTTTTTCAGATTTGTAAACAGTTGTTTCCCCCTATCACACTCA